ATTCAGCCATTCCATATGTATCACCTCCAAAATTCAAGCATGTCCTAATCCTTATCATTAAGAGGGAAAAATGTCACAATCTTGATGCTACTGTTGCAAATGTCTTGTCCAAGTATCTAACTGGCATCATACCTCAGATGAGGCCTGCACAATTTGTAGATGGGAAAAGGTCAGACTAATACCTTAAAAATAATGTCAGGCCACCAAGAATAGCTGGCATGCCAGTCAGCTGTTTGGCGGCTAGCAGTGCAGTGGCTGCAATGGAGCTGGTAGTGTTAGTGAGGCCTGGAGGTGCTCAGTGGCATATCTTTTGGGGCAGAAGTGATTGCAAAAACCTAGATGACAGTGGCGGATCCTTCCTGGCGGTGGCATTATTTGGTGGCAGTGAATTGGTTATTTTTCCAAAAACACTGGTAGCCCATGTGCTATATGTTGTACAGGCCTGCCTCAGATACTAAAAGAATTTGAAATCAGTTTCTGAAGATGAAAGGAACTAATGCATAAATTAATATCTAAGCCTACCCATATTTAGCTTACTACACTAAATTCACCAATCTGGATACAGCATAACAAAGTGTTTTCCCCTCTCAAATTTCCATGGCAAATGAATTGACTGAAGCAAAAATTGAAATTTTACACAAATATGCCCCCATGCTACATCAAATATAAAATGATGCTATAAAATGGTATGAAAACCTATGCCCTATGTTTAAATATTTAGGTAATTTTTTTACGTAGAACACACCAAAAAAATCTAGGGATTCCTTTCTTACCCTCAGTTTCTTTCCCTTTTCTTCTACTTCAACAGTCAATTATGGCAAGCATGACTCTTAAGAAGTTGCACCATATTGTATGAAATAATGTCCATCTTCCAAATACCTTTTGAGGACAGGTAAGTCCTCTGTTTAAGAACGTGTTCCATTCCCAAGATCTGTCCTTAAGTCAAATTTGTATGTAAGCCGGAACAATATTATTGTATAATACTGTATAAGTAGTATTGTGTAATGAACTCGAACCATTGTGTAATTAATTCAAACCATTGTGTATTTAATTTGAAATTTGCTACAATAGGCTCCGTTCTTAATTATGGATCGTCTGTAATCCAGGAGTTCTTAACACTGGGACTACCTGTATAATTCCAGCCAGCACTGTATTGCAACACATCAAAAATGAGGTGTTCCCTTTTTGGAAATGTGCCTGTCTCGACTTCAGGTTTGGCATCGGTGGCATGCCCAGGGCAGGGGAGGTGGCCTGGCAGTCATATCCAGGAGACTCTAAAGGTGCCAGGAGGCACTGTTCTTCTGATAACTGTATATGAAGCCTTATTGGTGAAGCCAGCTCTAGAGACAAGTTGGGACTACTACTGTTCTACTGCCTTTCCTACTGCATGGTGGTATCCCTACCCGGGCTGTTCAGCCTCATTGCTGGGTTGGCAGTGAAGTTTCCCAGGGTTATACGGCTGGGGAATTTCACCAGCTTTCCTTGGGGGTGGCAGCCTGGGAGTTCATGATCACAATGACAACTGTGAACCTGTCCCAGATCATTCAGAGCCCAACTGTGTAGGAAATAATACACTAGATCTGATGTTCACACTAGATCTGAACATACAAGATGATAAGTCTTGGAACAGACTTTTGATACCATTAATCATGGTGTCTTTTTTGACTGCTTCTAAGGGTTCAGGATCAGGAGGTTACTGTTTTGCAGTGGTCCTCATTTACCTAAAGAGGCAATTAGAGTTGGCAGCATTGTAGGGTGCTGTAGGACTCAGTGCTCTCTCCACTCCTATTTAACAGCCATATGAAGCCACTGAGTGATCTGATCAATCAAACTGGTCAGGTATCATCAGTTTGCAGATGATATGCAACTTTACATCTTAACCCCAAGCCAAACAGGTGCTGTCCTGATCCTGCAGCCTGTTAGGGTCTGGATGGAGAAGAACAGGCTAAATCCCAGCAAGATAGAGTAGCTTTGGGTTCAATGCAGAGAGATTTGATCTTTGGTTCTAGATGGGAACATGTTCCCTGTGGCAGAACTGGCTTGTAATGTAGAGGTCCTCCTTGATTCACAATTTGATTCAATCATAATTTAACCATCTCTCACTTGGACAATTGTACATAGTCCAAATGGTGATGCCCTATAAGAGCATTTAGAAGGTACAAATGGTCCAAAATGATGTGGCTCAAGT